GGCGGGTCTCGAACCCGCAGGCTCACGCAATCCACTCACCTCAGCCTCCCAAAGGCACGGAATTACAGGCTGAGCCACCGAGCCCGGTGCACTTATTTTCTACAGAGAAAAAGTTCTGTATCACACCTTCAGAAGCTACTACTACAAGCTTGCGATATATTACGTAAAACTTCCAGTAAGCTGCAGTGCAATGAGGCACATTAATATTTCTGTAGAAATCATGAATATTTACATCAAGCGAACATTCAGTCACACATAGCCTCAAATTCCATTCAGGTTGGAATTTACTACTGAAGGAGTTAGGAATGACAGATAAGGGACTGGAACCTGTAATGACATGTTCATTTGAAATCTAATTCTCGCCAGGCTCGGTGGCTCAAGCTAATCCCAGCACTTTGGGAGGCTGAGGCGAGTGGATTGCCTGAGCCTGCGGGTTCGAGACCCACCCAGGCACCTTGGTGAGACCTCATCTCTACAATAAATCAGAACTAGCTGGGCATGGTAGTGCTCGCCTGTAGTTTCGGCTACTTGGAAGACTGAGGCAGAAGGATTGCTGGAGCCCAGGAGGTTGAGGCTGCGGTGGCCTTGAGCGTGCCACTGCACTCCAAGGGCGACAGAGTGAGACTCCAACTCAAAAAAAAAAAAAAGACATCTATTTCTTTATATTTGATAAGAGCCAGTAGAAACACATTTGGTCTTTCCTTCCACAAAAATGACATAGTATATTTAAAACTAAACAGTATATTTTATTTCAGAAGGTAAATGTAAAATGCTGGCTGTGGTGGCTCACCCCTGTAATCACTTTGGGAAGCCAAGGTGGGAGGATTCCATGAGCCCAGGAGTTCAAGACCAGCCTGGGCAACACAGTGAGACCTCATCTCTACAAAGAATCAAGACATTTGTCAGGGGTGGTGTCACGGGCCTGTAGTCCCAGCTACATGGGAGGCTGAGTTGGAAGGATCACCTGAGCCCAGGAGGTTAAGTCTGGGTGATAGTGAGACCGTGAGCAAGAAAAAAAAGTAAATGTAAAAGATCTCCCTCTGTCACCTTGTGAAACTAAGTTGATCATAATTATGATCTTCCTCTAGAACTTACCTAACTCCACTCTGGTTAAAATTCTATTTTTTAAACTGGGCTTAGTGGCTCAGCCTGTAATCCCGCGCCTTTGGGAGGCTGAGGTGAGTGGATTGCCTAAGCCTGCCTAAGTTCGAGACTCACCTGGGCAACTTGGTGAGACCTCATCTCTATGATAAATCAAAAATTAGCCGGGCGTGGTAGTGCGTGCCTGTATTTCCAGCTACTTGGAAGGCTGAAGCGGAAGGATTGCCGGCGCCCAGCAGGTGAGGCTGCGGTGGCCGGGGGCGGCCACAGCACTCCAGTCTGGGCGACAGAGTGAGACGCCAACTCGAAAAAAAAAAAAAAATTCTATTTCTTGATGCGATAGTAAAAGACTGGTCAGATCAGCTCCAGGCTTGACCCTGAGTAACATGAAGACCTATGGAAGGGCAAGGAAACGGGATGGCGTAGAGAGAGCTGCAGCATATCTGAGTTTGGCAAACTTCAACTTCAGAGGATAAAGGAAAAGAGGCCCAGCGGGGATCTGTGGTCACTGTTCTCTTACCAGGACTGGAGGTGGACAATAAGGTTCCTTTGTAAATAATTGGTAGAAATTTTCGCTTCGGGGCTGCAGTGGGAGTCGCACTGGGAAGAGGGAGGCGTGGCTGCTGAATCAGAGCTTCATGGGCAGAGCGTGGCCCGCCTGTGAGCGCTCTACATACCTTGGGGCAGGGCACCGACCTTCCCCAACACCAGGCCAGGAAGCTGCTGCCCCGCAGAGTTCGGACACCCGGTAAACCTTTCTCAAGCCCGCAGCCTACAACTGAGACCTGGTCAGAGGATGCCAGCGAGACTCTGGGCCAGGTCCCACCATAGGGCAGGTCCAACCTGCCCCTGGCCTCAAGCAGCAAAGACGTCTTGATGTGAGAAAGGACTGCATTTTGAGGAACAGAAAGGAGACCAGTGTGGTTGGAGTATAGCAAATAAAGGGGAGTAGTATGAGGTGAATTTGGAGAGGTAGGACCTTGTAGGTAATGGTAAGAAAATAAAAATATCTTCTACAGGCATTGGCAGATTATTCAACAAGAATGGCATGATCTGATTATATATATATATATATATAGTGTGTGTGTGTGTGTGTGTGCATGTATATATATATGTGTATATATATATATATATATATATATATATT